CGCTGCAGCAAACACCTGACCCGACGCAGCTACCTGACCAGACGCAGTGACTGGAGGAGACTCAGTGGTCAGGGTGTACAGGCTCGACCCCAGCCGACGGGTAAACGTGGCCAGGTGTCGGCCTGTCCGAGCGTCCGTGCAGTGGGTCACCCGCTGACTCGCAGGAGTGAACTGGTGAACCCCCGCATCCTGTAGGTCAGCACCACTCACCAAGTTCGTAGAGAACGAGGGAAGGTAAAGACCAGACAGGGTGCCAGAGGGGGCCGCCGGACACGGGAGGACAGTGGAGAAGTGAGCAAGGACAGGACCCCCAGAGGGGTCTGCCAGAGAGACTGCAACTGGTCGGCCAAGCGGCGTGAGTGTGGTGCGGTCTCGAAAGAAGGAGCGAGAAGCCCCCGAGTCAAGGGTGAAGGTGTGGGAGGCCGAAGCCGACGCAGAACCTGAGAGAGCAGACTCACCAGCACCTGAGGGAGCAGACGCACCTAGAGCAGCAGCCTCGCTAGCACCTAGAGCAGCAGTCTCACCAGTACCTAGAGCAGCAGTCTCAATGCCCGGGTCGGGCAGAAAACACCGGTAACAGTCACCCTCATCACTAATAGTCACAGTATACATGGCAGCAAGAATAGCATCAAAGTCAAGGTCAAAGACAGCTACACCCGCCCTAGACAGCTCACCCCAGCGGGGGATCTCAGTGGCCTCAGGGAACTGGTGACGCCAAGCGTCCGTCAGGCGGCCAAAGCAGCGCTGGGTGGAGTGCGCACCCCTGCACTGCTCACCCGCGCGGTCGCCGGTGCGTAGGACGTAGGTGCACGGGCCAGTACCCCCACCCCTCTGGCGTGCAGTGTACCACTCACGGAGCTGCTGAGGGGAGGGGATGTCACGAGTGCGCTGCTGCTGCTGCTGCTGCTGCTGCTGCTGCTGCTGCTGCTGCTGCTGGCGCTGAACACCACCGGAGCCGCCCCTCTGTGCAGCGCCACCCCGACCAGCTCCACCTCCTCCGCCGCCTCCTCCTCCACCGCCGCCACCTCCGCTCCCACCGCCACCGCCACCGCCACCGCCGCCTCCGCCTCCACCGCCGCCACCGACACCTCCGCCCCCGCCACCACTCCCACCGCCACCCCCACCCCCTCCACCGCCTCCACCGCCTCCACCGCCCCCGCTAGCTCCTCCAGTGCCCCTGCCCCCCTTGCCCTTGCCAGGGCGACGTCTCCCGCTAGGGGTAGACGCCGCACCGACCGACTCAAGCCCAACGAGGTCGGCCGCAGCAGCAGAGGCAACAGAGGGCAAAAGGGGGGAGGGGGAACACCCCTCAAAGATGGGGGTGCGAGGGTCACCACGAGAGGCTCCTACAGCGACTATGCTCTTCTCTGCTGCTAGGAGGGACTTCTCGAGGAGGTCAACAATGAGAGTGGTGGGGCAAACGGAGAGGAAGTGGTCCCTGACTACGCGAAGGGAGTCAGGGAGCCGGGTGACTATGTAGTAGAGGGTGATGTACATGGGGGGGGGGTTCTTGGCGCAGAACTCAGCAGGAAGCGCAGCGCGGTAGCGAGTGTCACTAGTGCGGAGGTGCGTAATGAGGTCAGCGACTGTGGGAAAGGCAGCAAGGTCAGGGAAGAGGTACGGTAGCATGAGGCGGCTCAGTGCAGCAGTGGCAGGGGAGGAGTAGCGCGCAACTACAGCGTCGTACAAGGTGTGAGCACTCTTGTACTGGCTAAAGTGCGCACGCTCAGAGGTAGGCAGGTGGCGACGCACAGCAAGACGTGCAGCAGCATCGCGAGTGGCCCACTGTGAGCGAACAGTGGCGTCGGCATCAGCAGCAGGGGCAGGAGAGGCACCAGAGGTGAGGTCAAAGAGGGAGAGACCGTCTGCCCTATCGCACTGTAGGAAATGCTGCAGGTCATCTACCCAGACGTCAAAGTCAATGGCCCGACCCTCAGCGTCAAAGGCGAGGACACTAGGGGTAGCCATGACAGCAGTAGACTAGCAGCGCGAACAGTAGGGTGAGGGCAGTGCAGGGACAGAGGCGCTGCACTTACCGGACAGGGCGACTCGGGTGGCTCAGCGGCTCTGCGGCTCGGCAACTCGGCGGCTCGGGCGGCTCGGGCGGCTCGGCGGTACGGCGGCTCGGCAGCAAGCGCGGCTCGGCGACACGGCGGCTCGGGCGGCTCGGGCGGTACGGCGGCTCGGGCGGTACGGCGGCTCGGCGGTACGGGCGGCTCAGGTGGCGCGGCGAGGCCGCGTGGGGAGCGGCGGCGGGGCCGAGTGGAGCGGCGTCGGCGGGTGCAGTCAGCTGCGGCAGCAGCCGCGGCCCCGAGGGAGGTGGTGGCGGCTGCTGCTGGCGACGGCTGCGGCTGCTGCTGCAGGGACGGCGGCGGCCGCTGCGGTAGGGGCGGCGACAGTGGGCCGGAGAGGGCGGTGCGAGGGGCCGCGGAGGGCGGCGACGGGCCGTAAGGGGGGGGGGGGGCCGTGAGGGGCCGCGGGAGGGGCCGTAAGGGGCGTAAGGGGCCGCGCGAGGGGCCGGAAGGGACGGCGCGAGGGGCCGCGACGCGAGGAGCCGCGGAGGG